AAAGGCTGAGTAGCAAGGCAACACGGGAGCTGGGTCTCTGCCTCGGGCTCGGGTAACGTGGCTAGCCTTTGAGATGTCATTCTGCTGACTGCAGGACAGTACTTATTTCGCCTGTGGAGTTCATCTTGAGCTGGGCTGCCCCTGTGAAGAAGGTGTCCTTCAGGCCTTTTAATCCCCAGGCATTCCGAAAGGGACAACTGTGACCATGCAGCAGCCAAGCGATGCAGAGTAGGTGCTTTGGTTTGACTAAGGGAACTCGGTGGGATGTCCGCAGCCCACTCCCTGCCCCCAGTTTGCTTCCACTTGCCTTTGCATTTCTTAAAATATCCCGCTGGAACAGCTAGCTCAGAAAGAACAATGCATTTCTCAGGTAAGGAGGCAGGAAGCAAGGCCACAGGGCACCAGAGAAACCCAGCCCCTGTGGCTTTAGAATCTAGGTTGCCTGTACTCCTCCTCCGAGGCCTGCAGCAGGGTGAGAAGGATGCTGTGCCATCTGTTCTTAGGCATACACCCCCCCCACCAGCTGGCCTGTCTGTGTCCCCAGATGCCCACTTCTAAGTATGAGGGACAGAGCTTATAAGCTTGGGGCCCTTGGCACCCAGGCAGCGTTCCCTGGGCGTTGGGGGTGGGGGTGGCGAGCTTTGCTGTCATCTGCTCTGCTCAGGTCTTACTTAGCCTTCCGTGTCACTGCTGAGGAAACAGATGGTTTGGTAGCTTAGAAGATCTTTCTGAGGTCCCCTTGTCATGCTTGACATGTTGGCCCGTATCACCTGGAGAAGGGAACAAGCTGATCTGGCACAAGGCTTGGCAAGGCAGTTGCCCTATCCAGGCACAGGGGCCGAGGGTATGCTGAACTGACATGTTTCCCTCAGGGGATTGGGATCCAGGAAAGAAAGAACCCCAGGAGTTAGCCGCTTTCATCACTGCCCAGCCCAGAGCCTCCTACCTGGAAGGAAGATGCTGGAACAAGTCTGTGTATAACAAAGGCCCTACGGCTGGGAGAAGAGTTAGCAGTGTTTTCCGGCTGGCAGGCCCAAGGCAGCTGGTGCTGGTGCCCTAGCCAGAGACCCAGGCTAGGGCAACAGCATGGTCAGTGGTCCCTGTTGTGACTGACTAGAGCTGAGGGCTGCTTGGTTTGGTAGAAAAACTCTCTGGGTGTGATTTTGTTCTAGAGTCCTTCTTGTGGGCTCAAAGAACGGGCTCAGTATCTCTGGTCATTAGCCTGAGGCCATAAGGACAGTTCCCACCCAGCTTGATGGCCTGTAAGAAGTGGGGCGCCCATCCATGGGCCTCAAGAACAGAAGTTGCTGGGTGAGGCAAAGTATGTCCTAGAGTAGCAGTTTCAACTTGGGATGATATATTCACGTGGCACCTGGAACGTCACCGTTCTGTGCTTTCCCCGGACTCTTTTGCGGGTACGCGGGTCTCCAGGTTAGCAACAGCCCATGCAGTGCTGGCTCGCTCTTCCTGGGAGCCGCCTGACCTGCTAGGAGAGGGTAGACAGGCGTGCTGAGGATACAGTGCGCCTGAGCATGGGGACACAGTGTGTATCTCCACCTGGGTGGGCTTCCCAGGGATGGGATTCTGGACAGAACACTCGCTGCCTCATTATGGCAGCCGCATATTCCCTGGCAGGTGGAGCATGTCACCAGATGGAGTGTTCAGTGGTGGCTCTTGTTTTTAACTGTGGCCAAATGATTGAATTTTGAGTCATCAAACTTTTCCAAGTGCTCTGGCTTGGGGGAGGGAGACACACGGACAGACGGACAGATAGATGGCTCTGGGGATTATTTGGGGGGATTGCTGTGATAGTCTGTGATTTACCTGGGACAAGATACACCACCTAGACATGTAGCTTCCCACCCTGCTAAGAAGCAAGAAAGTCTCAGTTACTACAGACAGTCGGGGGAAGGGTGGCCCCAGGGTGCCCTTGGTCACCATGTTTAACACACAGACCAACGTTCGGAGGTTGAGGTAGCTCTCCTGAAGCCATGATGCCATACGAGTCTGATTCAGCTTCTGAAATGACCTGTGGGACCTTGGCACTTTTTAGGTCTAGCAGATGGGTCCCCAGTACCCTACTGTGGGCTATGTCCATAGTAACATAGCTGCTGGTCTATCCACTGCAGCAGCAAGCCCTTAGAGCCAGTCACTGAGGAGCAACAGAGTGGACTTAGGCTCTAGAAGCCAGGGAAGTCATCCTCTCTGCACTAAAGGGACCACATCTGGCTAGGGGTCGCTTCTCCACAGGTGACACCTTCTCATTGCCATTCTTACATGATGAAGGGGGAGAGGTGCTTCCCCAGGCCTTACAGCGCTAACCCTCAACTCAACGAGGGCTCCGCCCCCATGGCCTAACCCCCAGTGACCTCACTTCTTAATCCTTTAGGCATTGACATGAATTTGGGACACACAGTCTGAACACATTCTGCTGTTACATTGGCCACAAAGTTGGGACCTATTAGCTGTACCTTAGATCATCTGCTGGGCAAGATCAAGGTGAGGCAGGATGGCCCCAGCAAGATAAGGAGAGCACAGTTCTAGAGCCCTGGGCAGGGAGTATTTCTCTTGGGGCCGACCTCAAGGCCCCTGCCTCTTTCACTTTGTGGCTCACAGAGAACAACGAGGCATGTTCTGGCATCTGGCACAGACGTGGTGATGCTCAAGTACCGTTGGCATTGCCCACCCAGCAGCCAGTGAGCACTGGAGACACCTGGGCGCTAACTATACGTGGCTCTTTGCTCCTACACAGCTATTGAGGCAAAAAGATGCAATGCTTAGCCAGGGATGCAGTAGGGTGGGTTGGGCTCCTGAGCCCTTGACTAGTCCTAGTCTCACCCCTAGGCCTCCTCCATCCCTGCAGTCTGGCCCAGGAAGGAGCGGCCAATGTTGAGCCATCTCTCTCTCTTGTACCATGCTGTTTCACTCAGCTCAAGTCAGTGGCCTGAAAGGCAGAAGTCACCCCCGAGTCGCATCCAAGTATTGCTGTGGCTGGGAAGGAATGCGTTCTGTGACTGTGGGCTACGTCAAACATCAAATAAATCTCAGCATCAGCAGGGTCTTACAGCTGTGGGGTCTTCTGGCCTGGGCCTGAATCTCAGGACAAGATGGTGTCCCAACCTTTTTCCGTGAAACCCAGAGTTGAGCCCCTTAGCACCCCAGCCTGTTCCTTTCTCTTTTCTTTCTTGATATTTAGTTATTAGGCACATAGGGGGAGGGTATTCTGGTGAGCTCGTTGAAGTCAGGGGACAACTCTTGGGAGTCAGTTCTCTCCTTCACCACGGGGGTTCTAGGGATTGATCTCAGGTCATCAGGCTTGGTGGCCAGCGTCTCCACCTATTGAGCCATCTTGTCTGCCTCTTCTTTCTTTTTTAATCGAAAGATCTCAAGAAAAGTGGACCCATCAGAAGGGTGTTTCTTGCAGAGTGTCAGAACAGCGTGTGTGCCTGTGATAGGCACAGCTACTTTCCCCTAGAGAGGGCACCTTTCATCTCTGTCTGTTGAGCCTGTTCTAATAGCCTGTTTGCTGTGGTGGCTGGCAGACATAAATACTTCAGCCTGTGAAAGGATTGGGGCCCCTGGGACAGGCCTGTGTCTTTCATCGGCTGGTGAGAGGCAGCAGGCGCTATTAAGTTCCTGCGCTCTGGGGAGAAGCCAAAGTCTGCTCCTCTTTCCCCAGTTGACTGCAGGGCCTCTGATGGACATCAGGCAGGCCACAACCCCCATCCATGTCTGCTTAGGAGACCCACATCTGAACTGTTTGGTGGCACCAGTGTGCAGTGTCAGGGCTGACACTCTGCTCAGTGGCTTCGACACCATCTTTAGTGATACTTGGTGTCGCACCAGGGAGGAGCTCTTGTGCAGCCACACTTCCTCTCTGGGGCTAGTAGATGTCCCACATAAGGTGGGGACTGTCACATGTCTTTCAAATAAGGTTGCATAGGCCCCCAACGGGTGATGGCTAGAAGCAGCTGGAGCCCGGCCTCCTGCTGCAGATCAGTGTGGGTCAAAGCCACTGCATTTTCAGCCTCAGTTGGAACCCAGAACCCATATTAAACCAGACATCTGGAAAGTTCTGAATACCCAGTTGGGACATAGATAAAGATCTCTCGCACTCTGGTCATGGAAGTGGGTGGGATAGGAATGATGGCAGTGGTGTCCCCTGGTGATAACTCCATCTGACTCAGCCCCCTTCTCATAAGGTGGCATTGTGTCATGTGCTCACTATCACCCTGGTCTGTGTCTCAGAGGACATGCGGAATCTGGATCACTCACGGGTATTATTTAATACCGTGTAGCCATGAGTATTCATGTCAGGGTCCGAGATGTAGTTCACGATACAGGGCACAGTTAGCACACGTGAGGGTCTGGTCCAACCTCGAGCACCACCACCAAGAAAAAAAAAATCTTGTTTCTGTTTTCATGCATGCCTTGCACTGTCTTCTCAGACTCAGTCACAGCCTCAGGTAAAAAATATTCAGGAAGAACTGTATCTGCCTAGGACGTGTGCATACCACAGGGTTAGCAGCTACTGAGAGGGCATTTGCATCAAAGCAGGTCCTGTCCAGATCCTGAAGCTGACCATACATACAATCTCATACAAGGATTTGCGCACCGAAGAGGGAGGAGGTCCTAGAACCAATCCCAGATGAGGGACATCTGGAATGAAATGGCCTTAGCAAGGCTCAGCCTTTCCACAGTCTACTGAAAATGTCACAGATGGACCTGTCTCTCTGCACCCCAGCGGGGCCTCATCCAGTTTTTGCCCCTCTATAGTAACTGCAATTGTTACTTTTTAGCAACACAGTGTTCAGTAGCCGGAGTGGGGGGTGGTGGGGGTGGGGGTTGTACTTCTTCATGAATCGGTCTCACTCATGGTGGATTTGCTACAGCCTGGCAGATGAATTGCCCGCTAGGCTTTGTGGGGTTTGTGGGGTGTGCGTGGCCCGAGGTTCCAGGAGACCGGCCCTTCGCTGACCATCGTATCTCTTCTCCCACAGAATTGTCAGACCTTCAGCAGCCTCAGTTGTCTGAGCGTGGGGGTGGAAGACCCCAGCTCCCCGAGCCCCTTTGCCCTTGTCAGCAGCACCCGATCCTGGACCACCTTGCTCTCAGCCTCCAACCCGGGGGGCAGGACCCCTGCTGCGACCCCGGTTCCAGAGCCTGCTCCCCATTCCTTCGACGATCACTTCCCCTGCCAGGAGGACCTGTCGTGTGAGGAGTCGGATGGCTGCAGTCTAGACGAGGATTGCTGCAGGAAGGGGGAGCCGGCCGCAGCCTGGCAGGGCCTTGGAGCCGGCACGAACAGCCTCTGCTCTCTGGACGGCGAGCTGGACATTGAGCAGATTGAGAACAACTGAGGGGGCTGTGGGCTGCGGCCCAGGGAAGAGGCTCTGCAATAGGTGGAGCCCATCCACTTCCCAGGGAGCAGCTGTCACCCTGCGGTGCCCATACTTGGGAAGGCAACTTGGCCCCACCTCACAGGCAACTGCTGGCCTCCCACCAGTTCCATGGAACTACTGTAGCCCAAGAACAGGTTTTTTGGTTTGGTCTTCTCCTCTTTGTTCCTCATGGAGTGCTGGGTAGCCATTCTCCAGGAGGGCTGGGCCAGCTGCATCCCACAGGCAGAGTGCCAGGGGCCTGAGCCCACCGTGGCCTCGCTCAGGTTCCGCCTGGGGAGTTGCCCAAAGCCTCCTTTACTTAGTTTACTCCGTGCCTTCTCTCCCAGGTCTCCCTGCCTCCGGCTTGGGAAGGTTCGGGAGACGCCTCTTGTAGTGACACCAGACCGTGTGGCCTTAATCCATTTGGGGCACTGTGCAGGGATTCTGGGGGATAATCCGTGTCCCATTTTTGGGGACCAGGGGATAGGTCAGGGATGACCAGAAGCCATTCATACTGGGTAGGTATTTGGTGGTTGTGTTGACTGAAAGGTGGGCCCATGAGTTCTCCCATGGCACCAAGAATCACCCACGCCTCTGCCAGCACAGGGGCTGCCTTGGCAGGGCTGGCACTGGCAGCCTTCCTACTCCCCAATCCCCGAGGGCAGAGTTAGGTGGATTCAGCCAAGTGTAGAGATGTCAGTGACAAGATGACCTCTTCATAGTGTCCTCAGGAACTACAAGCAGGTGCAGGAGACTTGGACCTGTGTACATTCCTGGGCAGAGGGATGTCTACTGGCCGCTTTGCAGGCTGCCCACTTGGCAGGCATCCCTCTGCAGTGACCTAGGCCGGGGAGCCTGCAAGTCACAGCATTCCTAGCACATTGTTGCTTGTTCACAGACACCGCTGGCTTTAATCAAAGTGTACTACCACTGGCTTCAGAACACCCCCTCCCAGTCCGCTGATGCGAACCTAGCTCTAAGGTTCTTCTCTGCAGGCCCAGCCACAGCATGGCTTGAATCACACTCCCCCTCACAGCTCCTCACTCCCCAGCATAGTTCCCAGAGGGTCTCTGTTCAGCCAGCTCCCCCATCCTCCCTGCAGACAGGCCACAGGGCTCTGCACTCTGGGACTCTGGCTTTTAGCAAACTTGGCATCTTCTGCAGACAATAGCAAGTGGGCTGGCTTACACAAGTGGCTTGTTTTCCCATAAGGCTAAAAATAACTGGTGCATTCTCTCGAGTTCATGGACATGTGATCTAGGCACTTCTGTAGTCACTCTGCTGGGCCTACCCTCCATGGATCCATCCTCTGCTGGTTGAGCCGAAATGGTTATCTTTCTCCTAAAGAAAGAGCTCTATGGGGCCCTTCTGTTTAAACTTTGTCAATCCACCCGAAGGACCGAGGCTCAAGTTCTGATGTATAGGTAATGTTTCTTTAAAATCTGACCCGAAGGTACAGGAAGTCCCACTCCTATAGCCCCGGGTTGGGTAGCATGGTGGGTACCTGTGGTGGTGGGAGACCAGCGGGACTCAGGGCACCGGAAAACCAAAGTAGAAAGCTGGCGAAGTCATGACATGGGAGCCCTGCCTCGTGGCTCGTGGCGGCCACACTTTCTCTGTATAAAACCTGGAGGAAGGTAGCTGAGAGGGTGTGGGGAACACACACCAGGGCCCAGAAAGCCCACAGTGAGAGGTTCTGGGTCTGGAGTCGTCCCACAGTCCCTGAATCCCACCCTCCTAAGGATGGTAGAGGCCCAGCCCTATCCCCGGGCCCATTTCACACAGCACGCTAAGGCCACAGCCTCCACCAGTAGCCATCTGCCTGGCCTGTGGCCTGGGACCAGCCGCTCTGGCGGCAGGTGGGTCTGAGAAAGCTGCTGTAATGGACGGCTTGTCTTGAGGCTACCTTCCTTAGGCCTGCTGGCTGAAGGACAGTTATCCTTTCGGACACTGTTCCCTGGGCAGTAAATGCTCCAAACCTGGGGTAGGGCTGGCCCTTTTCAGCTTCCTCAGGCCTCTCTGGACTGTCCCCGTCCCACTAAGGCCTCAGTCCGAGCCCTCAGCATAGTAGCCAGAGAAGATGGCAGGAGCTTTTCTGCTTAGAGAAAGACTGTCTTCATTTACTTTTTGACATTCTTTTAACTGAGCAAAGCAGGTCTCTTCTGGAAGGTGCCCATGTGGCTTTCAGCTGCCATGTTACCCAGACTCATTCATCTGCCCCATTCACTGGATCCAGCACCTCTGGTCTTGGATCTCTTGGAGGAGGCTCCCACGTGCTTGGCACCACAGTCAGCAAGCAGAGTGGCTTAGCCTCCAGCGTGTGGCTTCAGCAGTCGGCTGGCTTCAGTATGGGTGACATTAAAAGCCTGCCTGTGAGCGCCATTCCCCCAAAGAAGCAGAGGGTGTGCTTGATCACTCATTTGCCTAGGGAGCCCAAAGGTCTAGAGCAAGGTGTGGCCCCACCAGAGCCACCCAGGGGAGAGGGCCATCCATCACCTTGTACGCCCGCTCACTCCAAAAGCCACTGCGCTGAAAGGAGTTGCTCTCCCTGCAGGTACCTGACCTGAGTTCAGGGCGGCGGCCTAGACAGTTTACATGACTGGCTGCCCACGCTTGCCTTACTCATGGGTGGTGAAGGTAGAACCCGGTCCGCACCCATGGGCTTCCTCGTGCACAGGCCCGAGGAACTTGTTCGCCCACACGTGCAGATGCGCAGAAAGCCTTACTTAATTTCTTTTCTAAATTTGTATGCAGAAAGAAAAGTTAAATAAGAAAAACAACCACACTAAGCAGGAAGTGCCCTCTCCCCATTTCCAGATGGGTCAGCAGACAGACGGCATTGTTTTTCCTCGGGCTCATTCAAGGGCCATAGCAGTTAGAACTCACCCCTGGATCCTGTCCCCCATTTCCACTGATGCAGTTAAAATTACTTGAATGATGGCCACTGAAAATGTAAGCTAGGTGCCAGGGCTCAGGGACCCTCTGCCCATGCAGCCCAGATGCTGCCCCTTGCCACATCCATGCTGCTGGTCAGACCCCTCCCCTTGGTGCCAGGCCCCTTAAGGAGGAAGAGAAAGCGATTTTAAAGTTGCGGACTGATGGAGCTCCTGTAGCCTAGGTAGGATAGCCTGACCTCCTAGCATGGTCTCACTGACAAATGAATTACATTGTCAGTGTCGGGGATGCCCCGGGGTCAGGAGCAGATGGTCCCGCAGGTTGTCCTGGGGCCATGTGTGCTGTCCCCGCCAGCGGGCAGCGGTGGTACTGTTTCAGGTAGTATGGTGACTGGCGTGGTGAGTCGGGCCCCCACCAGGGCAGCAGTCCGTGGGCAGCCTGTGCTGGGCCTCTTCACTAGCACCGCGCACCACTGCCTGCCCTCCCACACAGGCCATGACTGCCTCGCGCTACGGTCGCTCTAGTCTCAGGAATTCGCTTGTTACTTTTACTGTGTAAATAAAGCTTCCTGGTCCAACACCCGGCTGCCTGGGTACGGCTGTGTGGTTTTTGTTGGGTGCAGTGAACCGGCCGTTCTCCTGTCCCCTCTTGTCCATGAGAGCGTCGGCTCTGGACTGACTGGGAAGACAACAAGGTGGATTCCTGTCCTCATGCCTTGGGGACAGACTGTGGGAGCGACTTCTAGAGACGGCTAGCCAAAGCCACCATCACAGCCTCAGGAGGAGCCGGAGACCTAGGCCGCCATGAGTGAGTGGGGGTGGGGGGGGCACATGCTGCCTTGCCATTTCTGAGGTGAGAGCAAGAGAGGAAGCTGACCTGGCTGAGAGACAGGGCCACCAAGAAGAGTCCCACAGGGACTGGGCAGCCAACTTCCCTCTCCACATAGCAGCACTGAGGTACAGCTGGGCTGTCAGCTTGGGGCGTTTGCCCCCACAGAGGGCAGCACAGTTCAGAACTCTGATTCTTGGGCTGTGGAGACATTAGAACACACAGTTCGCCCCCCAGAATGGGTCCATAGTCCTGTGCTTAGCTCCAGACTGGAGACCTGGGTAACCGCAGCTCAAGAGATGTACTGTGTCAGCTGTCCCAAGGACCCCAGTAGAGAGTAGTCAGTTTTTGTCACCCACTGTTGGGCCCTGTTACCTGGCCTTGGAATGCTCTCCCAGACCTTCTGCTATGGCCAGTGTGCAATCCTGGAATAAATACCCTTCTGCTTTGCTTTTTTGATGACAGATCCTCTGCCAAACAATGGTCTATGAACATGTAATTTAAGAAAGGGGGAAGGGATGGTGGCCAGAGAGACGGCTCAATGGTTAAGAACCAGAGCCCCCAGATTCAGTCCCCAGCACCCACAGAGTAGCTAACAACCATCTGTAACTCTAGTCTAGGGATCCAGTGTCACCTTCCGGTCTTCCTGGGTACTACATGCGTGTGGTCCACAGACATGTGTAGGCAGAACATCCGTAAACAAAAAAATAAAAATTTTAAAAGAAAAAAAAGAGGTGTTTTGGAGTAGTGAAACGCACCTGTAGCCCCAGTACTCAGGCGGGTGAAGCAGGAGGATTGCATATTCAAGGCCAGCTTGGGGACCCTGTCTCAAAAAACAAAAACAAAACAAAACAAAAAATGGAAAAACAACAACAAAACCATGGGCTAAGGATATAGGTTAGTGGTAGAGCCCTTGCTAGCATGTGCCAGGTGCTAGGTTCACTCCCTAGAGCCACCAGAACAATACAACCCACAAAACCACCCTTGGGGCCAGGGAGAGAGCTCGGCAGGTGAAGACCATCCCTTGCACACTGGCATACACCCATACTCATACAACATACACCATATGCACAGTTAAATTCGAGCACACGCAGGAGATCTCAGGCTGGCCATCATTTGGTCTTCCCAGGACACCACCCTTCTGCCTTCTGTCTATGGTAGGTAAGGTAACAACAAGAAAGAGGGTGAGGAAAGTCACCAAGCACGGCCCAGCTTTCCAGATCCCCAAAGGCAGGGCACAGTGGCCTTGGATGACCCAACATTCCCTTACCTGCACCTCAGACTCCCCAGTGGTGCCAGCTTCATACTGACCCTGCTCCAGCCCAAGCTGACAGCATGACTGCCCTGGCCTCTGTCCTGATGCCTCCATAACATTTCTGTGTCTTCTGCACTGTGAGGTCTGCTTAAAAGAGGCTCCCCACTCGCAGCCAGGCTTGGGCTCAGAGGGAGCAGTATCACACCATGCCCTGTTCACTGGGCAGCTGCAGGCCTCAGTGTTCTACAGTCCCCAAGCTCAGCTGGCTCACAAGTGCATTCTTCCAGGGATGCTCCCAGTCACTAAGCAGGCCCCTGTCTGTACACAGGGATGGTGACCCAATGGGCCTCTGTGAGTGAGTTGATGCTGGCTCTTGGTACACTAGAGAGCAGCCCTTTCCCGAAATGTGCATAGAAAGAAAGTCAAGAAGAAAACACCCTGGCCTGGACAGTGGCCAGACCTCCAAATGGCTACTGGTTTCTTTTTAAACTTTTTGGTTGTATTTCCTACAGTAATACTGCTTCTATGGCCCCAAAACATCAAAACCTAGTGCAAATTGCTCAACATACCTACCACCTGAAGGAAAGCTGTAGCTACAGTGCTAATCCCACTGGCTTGTGAGGTGGGTTCCTGAGCACCCTCTACCCTTGCCATGTGGTTGGGGCTCCTGTGTCCCCATTTTACAGTGACCTGTGGGCAGCTTCTTCCTGACTGGTCCACCTGTTGAGGACATAAGAGGCGGTGGGGACCCTTGTGATAATCCTATAGGCTGACTGGTGGGCAGCTGAAAGACCAAGAGAAGGAAAGTCATGCTACTGGGCAGTGCTATTCCCCTGAGAAGCATCGAGGCAAGGGGCTATTGGATCTAGATGAGTAGGAATGGATTTTCTCTTGCGGGAGAGGACAGCCGTGTGCTGGGTGATCGCAGCCCTGGGGTCACCACAGGCCGTCTTCACGGGCTTTTGAATGAGGCTGGAGGGAGCATCTTAGAATCCAATTTTAGAAAGGGCACAGGATGTGGGGCTAGACCTTGGAATCTCCGCTCTGCCTCTTTCTTATGGATCTTGGATGAGTCACTTTAAGGACCATCTCACTAAGCCCACTGTGGCTCAGAGGACAGCATGATCTCTGCCCAGATCATCCAGGATTTGCAGAGAAAGCTCAGCTTATCTGGAGAGACCAGCTGAGAGCCAGCGCAGCGGCAACCTCTAAGCAAAAAAGGAAAGAGTCCCAGTACCCATAGGACACATTCACTAGCAAACACAACCCCCTGCATGGCTCTAGTGTCCACACACCCTCTGTTCTGTGCTGCTGTGGGACAATATTGGAACTTTCTGTGTATCCAGCTATGAAGCCAGAGACCCTTCTTTAAAGGTCAGCGACACTGGCCAGACTGGTGGCCCCTCATCCTGATGCAGACATTTGGCCACTGTTTGTCTGATAAACTAGAGGTCAGCCTGCCCAGCAAGGCCCTGCTGGTGTGCTCACAGTGCCGAGGGACCCAGGCTTCAGTGTGTCTTTGTCTAGGGAAATCTCATAGAAGACCCATGATTCCTTTATGTGTTTGCAGTTGTACCGGTGTGTGCATGCACATGTGGAGGCCAGATGTCAACCTCAGGTTTTGGTCCTCAGATGACTGTGTGTGTGTGTGTGTGTGTGTGTGTGCACATGTGTGTGGAAGTCAGAGGTCAGATGTCTTCCTCCTCAATCTTTCTACCTTATGTTTTCTTTCTCACTGCCTTTCTTTATTTGAGCATGTGTGAGCGCATGGGCCACAGCATGGGTGTGGAGGTCAAAAAATAAGTTGCAGAAGTGGATTCTCTCCTTTCATCTTACATGCCCCAGGGATCAAACTCATGTTGTCAGGCTTGATGACAAGTGCCTGCTCACGGAGCCACCTTGCCATCCTGTCTGTTATCTTTTGAGAGAGAGTCTCCTACTGAACCTGGAGCTCACTGATTTGGCTAGACTGGCTGGCCATCCAGCCTCCAGGACCGTCCTGTCTCCAATGCCCTGGTTTTGTACCGGTACACTCTTTTTCAACCTGAGTTCTGGGAGGCCAATACAGGGCCTCATGCTTGAATGGCTAGCTAGTGTCTAAAGCATCTTGCAGCTAACTTCCTTCTCAGTGAGCTCTCTTCCAGTTGACTTCTTTACCCACTGAGGCAATTCCTTAGCTGACCTCTTTTCATGAGAAGTCTCCAGAGATTCACCAATGGCTTCTGGATCGATTGGGGGAAGAAACAGCAATACCAGGTATCCATTCGACAGATTCTGAAACCCAACACTTTGGGTAGGAGGGAGTACTGTCCCAGAGGCCCTTCAGAGAAGGCCACTGCCCTTTGCCTTGTCCCACTGCGGACAGCATGGCTCACTATGGCCAAGTGTAGTGAGGCATTATGGTTGGAGACGGCCGTGTTGCCCTCAGAGTCAAAAGCTGGAGGCTTGATCCCCTAGGTGGTGGTATCAGGAGCCAGTGGGACCTTTAAATATGAAAAGTCTTCTGGGGAGTGGCAGCATACACCTTTAATCCCAGCAGAGGCTTTCAGATCTCTATGAGTTCAAGGCCAGCCTAGTCTACAGCTCAAATTCCAGGACAGCCAGGGCTACACAGAGAAATCCTGTCTTGGGGAAAAACAAAACAAAACAAAACAAAACCAAAAGCATCAGGTCCTTAGGTCTGCTGGGGACATTCCCTCAAAAGGGACACCCCCTCTGTCTTCCCATCTTACCATGGCAGATTCCATGAACTCTTTATGAGTCTTCAACTGAGGCTGGTGCTGTGCCCTCCAACCTCCCAGACTGAGCTATATAACCTGCTCTTCTCTCTTTTCTTCCTTTTTTTTTTCTTTCAGTTTTGGTTACCATTTTGGTGACAGTTTTGCCGTGTATCTCAAGCTAACCTGGAATTTGTGGCAATCCTCCTGCTTCTATTTCCTAAGTGTTAGAATTATGAGCATGTAACCCCACCACACTCAGCCTGCCTCTGGTATTCTGCTGTAGTAATGAAAACTCAGGACTGGTGAGGTGCTTGCCATGCAAACCTGACGATCTGAGTTTGAGACCCCAAAACTATGTAAAGGTGGCAGGAGAGAACCAAATCTAACAAGCTGTTCCTCTGACCTCCACAAGGGCACCTATGTCATACATACATGTAACATGTCCATACATACATGTAACAGATAGGATTGAAAATAAAATCTTTAAAAATATGAATGAATACAGGAGTCAGGGCTGGTGTTTGCCCTGGTCTGTCTTCTCCCATTAGAGACAAAGAAACTCTCCTTGGCCACTATCAGCCTCCATGTCTTAATTTCTTAAAGGGGTCAGAGCAGGTAAGAAGTTCTGTAGCCTTGGCCCTCTACTGTTCAGTGGCTCCAGCAAGTGGCAGGAACAGGGCTGGAACTTAAGACCCTGTTCGGGGCCTCCATTCTCTCCCTACCCACTTTAGACCCTCACCAACAAAAGCTGAGTCAAAGGCCGGACTGTTGATTGT